AATGTATTCTAGTAATATGAATTTTTTTCTGTGTTGGTGTAGTGTACTCAGGTGAATATGATATTTGTGGTGTTACTCTGAGTGCATATCCACACCGGGCGAGCTTGAAAAGCTCGATAGATTCTGTTCCGAAATATCATTTACTCGAACCGTCCTGACCGCGTAGCTCAGTTGGAAGAGCATTGGGCTAGTATTCCAAAGGTCGTAGGTTCGAATCCCACCGTGGCCGGGCATATTTTTCAAGCTCGCCCGGTGTGGATATGCACTCAGAGTAACACCACAAATATCATATTAGTATTGTAGTTGTCAACCGTTTTAATATCAGCAATAAGGGACGGACCATCAGAAAAGTGATGGAGGGGGAGCGGGGGGGTTGGCAAAACCAAAAAAAAAAAATTCCCAGAAAAAAATTAGGAAAAAAATCTTCCCAGGCATAGTGCAAAAAACATTTCCTAGCTTGGAAGATAGGCCCATAAATTTCACTTAAAAAAAAATTTCCAGCCATCAAGCGTGAAAAAAATTCTTCTATAGGTCTACAAAAAAAATATATTGCTTCTTAGAAAGTCCCCACCCACCCCCATCACTTTTCTAAATTATATTTTCCAATTCTGTGAAAAGAAGTTAATTTTAGTTATATACATCGGAGCAAAGAACTGGAATCAGCAATTATTAAATGATGTATTATGTAATTCTATTTCTTCAGTGCACATATATAATTTGTCTATTATATTAATTTTGTACTTATCTTTAAATACTTTTATTTCTAGCAAATGTTTTGAAAATGATCATGTTGTGAAAATTGAAAGTTAAATCAACGAAAATGATATACGAACTAACGCGACAACCGTGTCTCAACAGAGCAGGTGTTCAAACCGTTTTATATTACGCTCAGTCGTTCTCATGTCAAATATGCACAATCGTTAACTGGTCTTCAACAACTTATATATCCTTGCATTTAGTTAGCAATAATCTTGAGCGCCAATAAACCAGATATAGATGTGCATTTATCCCTTGCATAGACCAGCGTTAATCTCTCGACATATATACTTCATGATCACTCCCCATATATCTCATCTGCTTATAAGTTTATTTAGGATGTACTATTGCTTTATGACACATTTCCAACATATTGACTATGCACTGTAGCAAGCACAAAAAGAACACTGCATATGCCAAATTTACCAGAGGAGGGCTCTCTTGACGAGCGTGAAGTCGCAAAATCGTAAAAAACGTGACGTCATACAATGACCAGGGGTGAGCCATACGATGACCGAGGGTGACCAGGGGTAAACCTATAGCCCTTACCGCGGCGGCATTTCTTTATTGGTGGGGGGGGGGTAGCGAACGCCGAAGGCGTGAAGCTTCTGGGATTGAGGGTCCGGGAAATTTTGAAATCTGAGACTTCTCAGAGCCCCGGAAATGCAATACTAGAACCAGCCTCTTAAAAATTTCTTGAACGACTCTTAAGCAAGCCGTTATATACGGGTAAAATTTATTCGCTTAGTACATTTTCATTGAATAGATTTTTTCTTCGAAATTTAATGCCGTATTTAAGCGTAATTTAAATTGCATTTTCCATACTTATCCTCCTTACCTTTCTTAGAAATTGCTTTTTTCTGGAAAGTGCGAGCCCACTAATACATAACAAAAAATAATAAAAGGAAACAAACACCTGTCCAGCGTACTAATGACGACAGAACTAATCTACATAATTATGTGCAAGGAATAACTTAACGTATTTCAAAAAGTCCATGATAGTCTAAACGAATTATAATTCAAAAGTCTGACTAATTCTGGTGCAGTTTTTTAAACCAAAAGATTGAGATTGTAACAGAGATCCTGCTTCGTAAATTAACCAAAGTTACGTTTTCTCTTGTCGTTCTTGGACATGAGTACATTCGCTATTTAGTATCGCCAGATGACTGAATCTCCTCTGTGATGTAATAAATTCTCGATTTTCTAAAGTATAGAAGGGGGGCTCAGCCCCCCAGAGTTTGAAAAAGGGGGGCTCCGGCCCCAAGCGACCGCTCCCCCCCCCCCCACTTAAATTTCTTGCACGTGCTTTGGCACAGTTGAGATCGGAACCAATCAGCGTTAATATATCTTTCACAATCACAATCTAGCACGGTTGCATAAATGCCTCATTAGCTCAGGGGCAAAGCAGTACTCTTGTAAACTCAACTGAAGGTCTTGAGTTCAAAGTTCTCATGAGGCTCTATCAATTTCTTACTTTGTTTTCATTAGTGAACTAAAATTTGAAAAATTGTTGGGAATTAGCTATACTGCACTGAGGCTGAAAAAGTACAAAACGTTAGAAAACTTCATTTACTGCTGCATCCAAATTATTCGCGACAAATTATAGGAACTCCTTTATCCAGTTCGTTTTAAAAATAAGCTAAATAAATCTAAATTTTACAATGCTTAACAAGACCTCTTAATTCCAGAATTATCATTGCTTGGTTTTAAATCATGCAACTTCAAATTTTACAACGACTATCTTTTCACGGAAAATAATTTGAACTCCAGACCCCTGGTTTACAAGACCAGTGCTCTAACCACTGAGCTAATGAGGCATCTGTCCTCTATTGACTTTCTTATAATTAGCGTTTGTATTTTGTTAGCCAAATTATTTTGAACTACGAGGAGGGTTAGAGTGAAAAAGTGGAAAACAACTAAGCCAATATGAAATATGATCGTTGGAAAATATTCAGAAAATTGCTTTGAGTTTCACTAGGGACGGACCATTAGAAATGCCGGGAGAGAGGGTGAAAATTCCCCAAAAAAATTTCGTGCAAAGAACAATGTCTGGAAAAAAAATCGTGCAAGCAAACAACAAAGTACAAATAATCTTGAAAAAAAATTCGTGCAGAGGTTAAATGCATTTAAAAAAACCTGCAGAGACGTAAGTCTGAAAAAAAATTCGTGCCGAAAAATTTTTATATCCCCCCCCTCCTGGGATTTCTAATGGTCCCCCCTCCCCCTAAGTATTATGCTGATCAATGGCACGTCCGCAGAACGAATTATTTATATCTCTATTAGCGATGTGGGAGCGTCTGTAATCGTGGTGGACAGGGGCGTGGCCACCCCCAAACGTGTGGGAGGGAGGGGCATGATCTCCAAGAAAATTCTTCAATTATTAGGGTCTCCGAAACGCTATTTCATGTATTTTAGACACGTTTTCCACAGATTTGATATATGTTATATCATAGATGAGAATATTAAGAGGTTACAGCCCACCCCCCCCAGTTTGTCCTAAGTGTTGAAAAAATTGCAAAATTGATTCTGAAGAAAAGTGTGGGGTATGGGAGGGGTCATATTATTATTATGATTTTTGGGCATCTCAGTTGATTGAAGAATAATGTTGAAGGATTTTGTAGATGGAAATTTCCAGTGTAAGTTTTATACATTTATGATGAACTATCCAGGTGTACTCTGTAGCTCAGTTGGTTAGAGCGCTGCACTGGAATCACAGGACCACAGGCTTGATTCCTGCCAGAGGGTCTATATATAGTTGCATTTTTCACAACTGCTCCTAGTTGGCTCTTAATAAATGTATATAAGTTAAAACGACATTTTTGTAGGATCTAGCTAGGTCAAGCCCGAATTTAGGGATTAACCCGCGATAGGGCAGAGACGAACACATGTTTTGCTTTTATATTCGAGAGACGAACTCGCGTTGATTTGTGTGATTTATAAAAGTTGTTTGAACGTTGTAGTGTTGTAGTATAGCCAGAGGACTAACAGTCAGAAACCACCACACACACACGTTGACACGGTGACACAGTGAGATTATATATTTTGACTTTGTATCAATAAATATTATATATCCTTTTGGACATTTGGATTGTTTATTCTACCGGAATATATCGTGCGTTTCGCTGACGTTTTATTGGGGAAATACTGCAACTTACAGTTTCTGACTACCTTCACGGTATTTATATTTGAAATTTGAATTGATGTCATTTCCGACATTTTTGTATGCAGATATAAATTGTCTTACATGAAGTTCTACGTATTGGACGAAGCTTTATGATTATCTTACATGACGTTTACTGGGTGAACGCGATTTAAACTGCCTTAATTGGTTCGCATTTACGGAAAATTGGAGTCTTTTTTTTCGATATTTACTGTCAATGAGTGAGAAGAGGAATTATACGGGACGTCTGGATATGGATGTCGTTAGGGGTACTAGGGCCCCCCCCTCTACCCGAAGAACAATCCGGGTATTATTCAACCGAACGAGTAAGAAGTTCGGGTTATTTACTGCAACAAAGGCAGGAACATTTGGATTATACTGCAGAATGGGTAAACAGAGTCGAATTGCCAGAGAGAGCCCATTCTACTTGCCCAGTCAAGATTACTGAGCCTATTGTGGGAGAGACCCGGCAGAGGGTAACTCGATCTGCCCCTGCACTTAGCATCAGGTCAGGAGTGTCGAACAAGTCCACTATTGTCAGAACTAAACTCGAACTGGAGTTGAAGCATTTAAAGGAAAAACAGAGACTAGATCAGGAACAGAGAGAGTTACACTTAGAAACGCAAAGACACGAAATGGAACAACAGAAGAAGCTAGCTGAGCTGGAAGAAAGGCGCAGATTGCATGAATTAGAGGTAAGATTGGCAGAAGCACAAATGCAAGAACAGCTAGAACATGATGAGGATGATCCAGATTCAAGGTCAAATCGAGGTGATGATTACCCAGAAAGATTGGACCAGTCGGAGGAACAGGTTGATCATCCTATAGCTGCTAGTGGTGTGAACAACAACATTGAAACCTCTACGAGAGACACCACAGATATCCCAAGAGTCACATTAGCTAATCAAACAAGTTTGGAGACCCACAATTCACCATCAGCACAGTTACCAGAGACTACCCGAAATGGCGAGATTCCACCACAGCCGAGTCGAATGCAACCATTTCCAAACCACCCCCAGTGTAGTCCACCATATGCAAGAAGACCGCCACGGGACGGTGACCAGCAACCGTCATCCCATGATCGCCTACCATTGGAACCAAACCCACAATCAGGGCAATCACTTGGTTGTTATCGTGAACAATCACTCAATATACAAGGGCGGCAACCCCCCGTGTTTGTTCCCCGGTATCTCAGTGGTCAACACAACCCACAACATTTGGGGACCTATATCACCAATAATGTATCATTACCAGAACCCGATACCACTGCCCAGCAGATATTTGAGCATCAACAACAAGCCCTCAACTTGATGGCAAGCACAATTGGAACTACCATAAGCAAGGGATTCGAAATGCCACGAAGAGAGTATATGACCTTTGATGGCAACCCGTTGACCTATCCCAGCTTCATGGAGAATTTCAAAACTAATGTAGAAGACATTGAGCCCAGCCCTAATGCTAGACGTAACTTCCTGATACAACTATGCAGTGGAAAGGCGAAGGAAGCTATAAGTGGAACAGTAATGTTACCTGCAGAGGAAGGTTATATTAAAGCCAAGTCTATCTTACATGAGATGTTTGGACAAACACACATAGTCGCAGCATCCCACATCGATAAAATCACTGGAGGGGGACCAATCAAAGAGAACGAGAACGAAAGATTGATGCAGCTTGCACGAGATATGGAGAATTGCGAGATGAACTTGAACAAACTCGGCTATCAGGCTGATATCAACTCAAGAAGCAACATGAGTGCTGTAGTCATGCGTCTCCCAAGATATCTTCGTTCGGAGTGGGCCAAAGAGGCACAAAACTCAAGAGATCGGAGTAAAGAACCAGACTTTGCGCAGCTGACGAGATTTGTTGTTAAGAAGACAAAGCTGGCCAACACTGAATATGGTCGACTCATAAGTGCAAGATCCAACAACGAAAAGCAATTTGGCAAGGGGCCTCGAGTGGGCAGGAATGTGTCGACTTACCTATCACACGGTTCAAACACGGAGATAAAGGGACATTCTGGGGATCATTCAAGGCATGGGAACCCGACGGGCAGACCAAAATGTTTATTTTGCGACAGAGATGGTCACACAATCGAAAAGTGTTTTAAGTTTCAAGGAAAGCCCTATGAAGAGCAAAAGAGCATCGTAAACACGAAGAGACTGTGCAACCTTTGTCTCTGCAAGGGTCATTTCGCCAGTAACTGCAAGAGGAGTCGTGGCTGTTTTGTTCCAGGATGCGGAAAGCGCCATCATCCAATGCTCCATCCCGCAGAGACTGCCAAGGACGGAAAGAAAGACGTGCCAGAAAATCAAAACGAAGAGAGAAAACCAGACTCACACGCAGCTCCAACCGGAAATGTTCAGACTGGTCACTGTGGTGCCACCGGAACCATCAAGAATCGAGTGTGCTTACGAGTAATTCCTGTAAAGGTGTTTGGGAAAGATAGAAGTTGTGAGAAGATAACTTATGCAATAAGAGACGAAGGTTCAAATACCACCCTTGTGAAAGAGAGTCTAGTCGAAGAATTGAACTCGAACGGACAGCCAATAGATTTCACGCTCACTACAATGAATAATGTGTCACAAGAATCGGGGAGATCTCACTTCTTATACGTTCAAGGTTTGGGTCAGAAAGACTGTCTCGAAATCCCAAACGCTTTGTCGGTAAAGTCTTTGTCAGTCGCAAGAAGTTGTATCCCAAACAAAGAAGACATTGCTAAGTGGCGTCACTTCGATGGAATTTCTATTCCCGAGTTGGATAATACGGAAGTGACTATTCTGATCGGTACGGATGTTCCCGAAGCACATTGGAAGTTGGAAGAGCGCCGAGGTCGCAAGAAGGAGCCGTATGCCATTAGAACGCCCCTTGGCTGGTCTGTCGCTGGTCCAATGGAGAGTGCGTCTGCGAACGAAGTGAGTTCCTTCTTTATTCGGAGTGAGGACGATATCTTGACGGAGAAGGTGAACAAGATGTTCCAAATGGACTTTAGTGAGACGACGTATTGTCAAGATTCGGAGATGTCGCTGGAAGACAAAAGGGCTCTGGCCATCATGGAGCAGTCACTCATTGTCGTGGACAGTCATTACCTACTGGATTTGCCATTGCGTGAAAGACCGAATTGTCCCTAACAACAAGAGTTTAGCAGAACGAAGGTTAAATTCCCTCAAGACGAGACTGAAGAAAGATCCGAACCTCTACGACAAATACAAGAAAGGAATCGATGATTACGTGAACAAAGGGTATGCATGCAAGATCAATCAAATCCCCCCTGTCGAAGCGAGACCAGAAAACAGCGATGTATGGTATCTCCCACATCACCCAGTTGTGCATCCTCAAAAACCCGAAAAACCGAGAATCGTGTTTGACTGCGCCGCCAGTTTCGAAGGTGTATCACTGAACAAGCAACTACTACAGGGTCCCGACATGACGAACAAACTCGTAGGCGTGTTGCTGAGGTTTCGCGAAGATCCCATTGCGTTTTTGGCGGATATCGAGGCAATGTTTTGTCAAGTAAGGGTTTCACTAGAGCATCGTAATCTTCTGAGGTTCCTTTGGTTTGAGGACGGTGATTATGATAAACCAACGGAAGAATATCAGATGCTGATCCACCTGTTTGGGGCAACATCTTCACCGAGTTGTGCGGGGTTTTGCCTGAGAAAGGTCGCAGAGGAATTTAAAGAGGAGTTCAGTCCGGAAACGATCGAGACGATACGTAAGAATTTTTACGTCGACGATTGCTTAAAGTCCGTTTCCAACAACCAAGCAGCTATTCAGTTGATCCAGGAACTTTGCGAGATGCTGTCGAGACGCTCGTTTCGACTAACGAAGTTCGTTAGCAACAGCAAAGAAGTCCTAACTTCTATTCCAGAAACTGAACGTGCGCAGTCTGTCGTTAGTTTAGATCTCGAGGAACTCCCAGTAGAAAGAGCGTTGGGCATGGAGTGGAACGTACAGAAAGATACATTCGGTTTCCGGGTAATAAGAAGAAAGAGAACGCTCACTCGACGAGGGATTCTCTCGGACGTCAGTTCTCTGTACGATCCTCTCGGGTTTGCCGCACCGTTTGTTTTGCCGGCCAAACGTCTTTTACAGCAACTATGCAAGGTCAAAGTGGGATGGGATGAAGAGATTCCGCGAGAAGTGCTAGATGCGTGGGAACGATGGCTGAACGACCTGCCTAAGTTAGTGAACATCAGCGTTCCAAGATGTTTCAAGCCATGTCATTCCGCCGAACTAGGGAGTATCCAGTTGCACCATTTCGCTGACGCTTCATTTGACGGTTATGGCGTCGTTTCCTATCTTCGTTTTACGGACATGGAAAATCGAATCCATTGCAGTTTGGTGATGGGAAAATCCCGAGTTGCTCCCATAAAACCCACAACCATTCCAAGGCTAGAACTAACAGCAGCAACCGTAGCTGTAAAGCAGGATATCCAGATTCGAGAGGAGCTAGATTTGAAGATCGAGTCCGTTCTATTCTGGACAGATTCAACGTGTGTCTTGCAGTATATCAATAACGAGGCTAGCC